AATGATATTCATTGTAGTACAAGACATTACCTTTAGTATAGTTGTCCTACAAAGTAGCATTGAGGAAATCTGTGGGCGATTAAACTGAAACCTGTAAATGCTGTGTAACTTTTGTTGGTTCACATGTTCATCCTATGTTCTACCGCCTTCATGTAAATGGCGACACGGAAATTTAGGCGTTTACAGCACGCTGCTCGTTGGCATAGGATGCTGATTATAGCACCAATGGAAACAGATTTGTTTTCAACCGTGAAGAGAAAAGTGTCAAACTTCGAAATGAAAGGCCAGCATCCTTGTAGAACGTTTCAGCCATACATCGAACATCAGTCGATGTCTTTCTTATTTCTCACATTAATTGGACACTAACGAAATGATGCGCGTCGGCTATATGTGAATGGTATTAGTTTAATAGGATTTCATAGGATGCGCTCCATTTCATTCGCATGTTAGTTTCGAGATTAGTGGAAATCTACAGACGTAGTGATGATATTCTCATGCCGTCAGGTCTTTTGAAACTCGATGTTATCTTGTTTGTGAAAGGTTTGTTTCATTAGCCCCCAGCATACAGGGTCGTTCTTCATCGCTTGGCGGTATGATTAATTGCTTCTGGTCGAGATACCACAGGGAAAGTGCAATTAAGCCATGGGTTTGATTTATATCGTTTTTGTAACAGGAACAAGGTTGTTTTTCTCCATTTTAATGTCTGTGCCAGTTGTGCTGCGTCAGTTTGAATGAATGTCATTGATAATTTTATTATACGGAGCTAGACTGTAATGTTTTTCGCAACGGAATATGGGCTCATTCTAAACTAACTTTCCCAGCAATAACGAGGAAATATCGGATTGTCCCACTTACTCCACAACTGTAATGATCATCGACATTCAACGACTGGCGTTTGCGAAAATATTCACTATCATGAAATCCTACTGGGATGGTTCGAGCCTGGTACTGGCAAACCATTGGTTGATAGCGTGCACATCAGTTATTATTAATGTTACTGACTGAGTGAGTGAGTGAGTATGGTTTTACGCCGCTTTTAGCAATATTCCAGCAATATCACAGCGGGGGACACCAGAAATGGGCTTCACACATTGTACCCATGTCGGGAATCGATCCCGGGTCTTCGGCGTGACGAGCGAACGCTTTAACCACTAGGCTACCCGACCGCCCCATTAATGTTTTTGAAACATATTGTGGAGGGGTAGTAGTGATTGCGAGTGACTGATCTCATTTCTTGGCCTTGACACTTGGGGTTGAGTGTGTCGAATGAAACAGGCTGGAAATACTAATTTGTGGAGTATAGTTCGAATTTGCGTATGCGCTTTTATAAAACACGACAATATTTATAACTACGTCAAATACAATTCATAAGCAAAGTTTCAATGGTGGTGATGTTCTTTGTGAGAAAGTGGTGGTGTAACGTTATTGAAATCACAACACAAAGGGCTTATTTAAACACCACTGGTTTAATATATGCTAGGGGGGCACGGGTGGCCCAGTCGTCTAAGGCGCAGCGATTCGCTGTGCAGAGTTGCGTCCCTTGGGCACACCAGAAACCTATGATTGTGGGTGCGGACGGGATTCGTATCTGAAAACGCCGAATTGTCTGCCTGCTCCCAACACTGTTTCCTGGATTTAAGAACGGGACACGTGCCTCATTCAAAAAAATTTCGATTGTCACAAATTCTGAACATTCGTGATTCGGGGCTTATTGTATATAGCCACATGTTTGACCCAAGGTATTTCCTTTTTGACTGTAAACTTGACCCTGTGTGTTTCAATATGATGTGTTCATTATTCATTCATCTTGTGTGGTTATTTATTTTATTTCAAAGTTTCGTTCTGTACATTCCGATTACTTGGTTAACCTTTGAATTGGGAATCAACATGTAACAATAGCCAGATAAATGTGTTGTGATCACGACAAAAATGGATGCTAAATTAACTTATATTTTTCAACTAAAGGACGATTTGAAATGAGCAGTATTCATATATGTTCCAGCATGTTGGGAAATAATTGATCAATTAATGTCCTCTGTACATAGCAATCGTTTAAAAGTTTCATTCATGACATACAAATTCGGTTTTCCCCAATAGACATATGTCTCCTCTACCTCCTAGTGTAATGCCCTTATTACAGTCTATCTTCAATGATATTAAGACTAATGGTATCGTTGTTCTTCTACACTCGCCACGACGTCTCACACAGGCCATTAGGACCACATCAATATGTATTTCAGCAGGGGAAGGTCTATAGCCTACAGTGTTCTTGTCACGCAAGTTAAACCATGTTGGGCGCTCGTGTTTCCTGGCTATCATTGTTCATACCCATGTTCGTAGCGTTACGCACGCATTTGGCGCATAGGAACTTAAAAAAATCAGGTCAAATTGACGTTAAAGAATGGTATTCTCAGAAGCTTCAAGATCTTGAGAGTTGTTTGGTATGCTTTGTGAGCATCACAGTCGTTCTCTGTTTGAGCGGCGGTGTGAGTGAGTGAGTGAGTGTGTGTGTGTATGTGTGTGCACTGCACTCTACAATAAACTACGTTTATAACGAACACGCTTATAACGAACTTACCGATATAACGAACTTATTTTAGTCCCGGCAATTTGTTGTATATATGATGTATATATGCTTATACGAACTACGGTTATTACGAACTGAAATTAGTGGTCCCTTTGAGTTCGTTATAACCGTAGTTTACAGTATTACTTTTCGTGAAGGTCGACTAAACATCTTTTCTTATCTAAATTGCATGTCGTCGTACTCCGGCGGCGCGGGTCATGGCGCATAATACCAACCCCTATTTGTTACTGCCCGAGTCTACTACTTATAGGCCACTGCGATATAGATAGGGAACGGCATATCCTACCAGGGTATGCAATGTACGTTAAACAGTGTTTCTGCACAACTTCGTCGTGGATTCGCGTTGGTATAGCATTGTTGAAATCTCATTAAAATCAGTTCTTAGTGCTCGCTACCGCTTACAAAAATCAGTGAAGGATCACATTGCTGGACACGACAGAACTTTGACCGACCAATGAAATGACTAACAAGAAGTTAGTTTCAAACTGATTTATAAGATAAATGAAGCAAGAGATAGACGATGATTTTGACGTAATCAGTCGTACAGCCCGGAACTGTCGTTCGGAATACCCCTTTTCGAGGTTGCATGATTGGAAAACACATTCCGACTGTCACTTTCCTGATCTGGTAAGCGACGCTCTGATAAGTCCCATGAAGTCGTGAACCCGTAATGGGATTTCTTCAGATCTTTGTTTAGCGGTAGCGAAAACTAAGATATGATTTTAATGAGAATGCAATATTTTCATTACAAGTTTGGGTAAATGAGGTCAATTGTGTGATCACGGCATGATCACTTAGTATATGTACGTTCTGTACAGATAAACTGGACAACTATCAGGAATGGTGATTTATAATACTGATAATAAATTCAATAACCTGAGGAATTACTGCATAAAACGAGATGGTCATGCTGTGTAGCATCTGCTACCAGTGAACATGCGTACGTCACATTATACACGTATTAGCCTTATTGAGCTGATGTAAGTCATCATTGTTGTTCAATTGAGTAGTGACCGCCTCCGTGGTCTAGTGGTAGAGCGTCATACCAAACGACTTTATATAAAAGATGGTACTTGTTGTAAACCCTGTCTGGCGCTCGGCATTAAGGGGCTAAAACAAGGACTGGTCGGCTCGGAGTCAGTATACTGTGTCTGAGTGGGGTATTCATGTTAAACTGTGGCATAGTATCTCAGTGTGCTAGCACTATAAATCGGCATCATATATATATATTTCATATAAGTGCAATAATCTTGGACGCGACTGTAAACTCCATTTCACCTCACCTCACCTCAAGTGAGTAGGACCGCCTTCGTGTTCTGGTGGTAGAGCGTCCGCCCGGAGAGCAGAAGGTCCGGGGTCCGAACCCCAGCCGCGTCATTACTTGTTGTTACCCTGTCTGGCGCTCGGCATTTAGGGGCTAAAACAAGGACTGGTCGGCTCGGAGTCAGTATACTGTGCCTGTGTGGGGTATTCAGGTTAAAATGCGACATGGTATCTCAGTGGGCTCGCATTATAAATCGGCATGAGTCCCCCCCACCCCCACCCCCACACGTAGCTATATATGTGCATAATATTGGACGCGACGTTAAACCCCATTTCACCTCACCTCAATTGAGTAGCCCCGTCACTTCATCAGATGTAGACATAAGTAGACATGTGGTAGAGTGCCTTGCGCAGTTTCAGGATAATTTGTCACAAAGGAAAGCAAATGTCATCTGACGTTACTGGGAAAACAATATCGGAAATGCTTGACTTCCGCATAGATAACATCTATATGAAATTGTGACCCCCTTCTTGCTGACATGTTTCCTTATGCACATGATTCGGTGTTTTTGGTCGGATTGGATAAGTCAAACAAAGGCAATTTGACAAATAGGTTTAACTTAAGCTTCAAGTTTTTCGATAATCTGATGTCGTTTAATAACCATCAATTAGCCAATCCCCATCCACATATTTACCCACCTGAACTAGAAATAAAGGAGACCTGTGAGACCGCCTCGTCTGTTTCACATTTAGATCAATGTATGCAGATTCAGAACAATCTCCACAAGACTGTATGACAAGAGGGATGACTTTAACTTTCACATTGTCAACTTACCCTTTATGTCGAGCAATAATCCAGCGACTCCAGCCTTTGGTGTCTACATTTCAGAACTATTGAGGTACAATCATCCATGCCCTTTCTACAACAATTTCAAAGCTCGGCGTCATACGTCGTCAAAAGTTGTTTGATCAAGGTTCAAGGCTTCAGTAAAACTTTCATAATGTTTTACAGAAGACAAGTGGAGGACATTTCGTAATTTGACGCATCAGTGACTAAAATGATATCTGTGTTTCCGTGTTTGTTCTTTACGAAAATATGTCCTCAATGCTGTATTGTGAAGAAAGTAATGGATGATTTATTGTTTTGCAGACATCTCGGGACTCTATTTCCCGAAGTCGATGTACAGTTTCACACTACCGCCAGGTGCTCCCCATAATACAGTAATCGGCCGTGTGTATGTGCTGAACAATGTCACGTCCCACTGTGACGACAACGGCATCGCGTTCACGATGTACTGGACCCAGGAGTACAAAGGTGAGGTGTCACGGCTGGTTGGCATTGATCACGTGTCGGGAAAGGTGAAAGTTATCGGCTTCAGCGAGGAAGCAGAGAGTGGGGGTAAGTCAATTTATTGAATATATGCCTATCTTTTGCTGTTGTAACACGTACAAAGAAAGTCAGAGGTGTCTTACGCCTCAGCTAGCAATATTCCAGCTATATCCCGGTGGCCTGTAAATAATCTAGTCAGACGAACCAGTGGTTGATATCAAAAGCAAAGTTAGACGTCATTTGGGATACGATGACACAATCAGCCAAGACCGTGACTCCTGATCCATTATCGTTGCCCCAAAGGAGAAGCATAAGTTCCTAAGGACTATTCATAACCCGGACGTTTGGTATTTCAAGGTTACATTTTTTGAAAGCACAAAGGGCGTTATAAGTTATATATACTTATAGCAAGATATAAGGGAATATAGTTAGAATTTTCTTGACATGGCATCCCGTACGAAAACAGAAAACCCATGTGTGTTTCGGTAATATTGTGTCACACCGAACAAAACATTTTACTTTGAATCTTGTGACTTGAAGAATTTATCATGGTAAGTACCAGAATAAGAATTCGGATATGTTTCTGTGCACTCTGTTATTGGTGTCACCAGTATAAGTTGTATTTTTAGAACATTACGCAGATTGAGTCCCTTCTACCTTCTACATACCACTCAGCAATTGTAGAGCATTGCCATGCCCGGCCGGGGTGACTTAAGGTGTGACCTACAGCGGGTTCAGTACAACACGCGTCACATGTTTGGTAATTTCCGACTCAAAGTCCGGCGCAAAGTCAGGAATTAAAAGATTAACTTGGCTTCCACATGGTTAGACGTCATCGCACGTTGACAAATGGGCTCCAACTGTTTTGAAATGACTCCGCGTTCACTATGGGTTTGGCGTTATTGATTATCAACCCATTAGTGTTTAAGGAAATGCTGATATATTGACTTACGCTATATCATTGTCAAGTGATGACAATAATTTTGAGACATGTTAATAATGAATTTAATAATGTCTGTGTGTACACTACAAATACAAACAGAACAGGGTGTGTGCTGTTAATGGATGACGGATAGAAGGATACTTGTAGGATGTGGACGAATCCTTTTATTCCCTCTTTAGCAAGTTTCTAAAGTCAGGGAAGTAGCACCAATGGTCCACGAGAATGTAAACAACCTGACTTTCGGCGTAACAAGCGAGGGAAGGAACCATTATCGTACCCCCGAGGTTAGAATAGGTTCTCAGAAACACATACTTGTCGTAGCTCTGTTACTTGCGTTATTACGTATCATCGCCCCCGACGGCATGTGACATTGCACATAGTATTAATCACTGGCAAGAGTGGTCTAGACTCAGCGCTTAAATAACAATGTACCATAAAATCATCGACAAAGCTAAAATAATCCTCATGTTAAACTATTGCGATTGGGTGTATATATATATAATATATAGTGTTACGTGTCGATTCCCAAATTGAAACAATACGTTAATCCAGAAATCTGTACGGTCAAGTCGTTTACAATCAACAAATGTATTACAAAATTAATAAATAAATACAAATTACTCCACAGCAATTACAATAGCAGTAAACAATAGAGTGGCAGTGCAATATACAATGGCAATATATATATTATGATGGCAGTGGTCAGTATCAAATACCAAAAAACAGTAGTGATAGCAAAAGTCAGCAATAATAATATATATTCACCCAGCGAGGACAGGGGTCAAGCTTCTGAGATGGACTAGGCAGGGAATCGGGGATGATGAGCGATCCTCACTTGAAAGCCGGTTCCGATGTCATGAAAATGCGTAAACACGCTCTTGTCCCCTTATATACAAACTTGCAAGCTACTGGAAGTTTCTGTACCGTGCCCTCACCAGTCCTTACAGCACTAGATCATTACAGAACATTTCATATGTTTCTATAACATACTATCACCGTCCGCGGTGTACCGAACATGAAGTTTACACACCAAACTAGCATCTAAATATAGTAACTTTCTGACGACCTATCACTGTCCAAGCACAAAACAATGAGCGTTTACCGAATCTGAACCAAAAACAATGTAACGCAGTTACAATCATTGTAGACGCCGCTCTACTCGACTGTCTTCTTTTACTTGGAAAATGAAAGAATGCAATTGAATATCGAGGAATCGAAATCTTATGTTCTTTAAGGAACAATGAACTCCTCTGAAACATTAGGGAAACAATAATCATGAAGTCCGGAACTCTACTTAATGAAAGCGTGAAAATGGCCAGAAATTGCGTTGCGTTTGGTAAAGATGAAATAGTACGAGGCGTCGTGCATTGGGCAATATGGCACATTTTCCCAGAATGTCTGACTGCATCTGCTGAGCCCGTGAGGAAATGTTGCTGGATGCATGTTGTTAGAGCGTGTGGCTGCATACTGACCGCGAAATAGCCACTGTGTTCTTGAGCCTGTTGTATTCCCCAAACACCCTTGTCGAATCGTCGCTGATTGTTGCCACTAAAACGGAAGCAGCATTTGATGAATCGATTTGTGAATGTATTTTCACAGCAGGCAATGGGACGACAATTGTATTACAGTTCAACACGATTAGACCTGGGGTCTCGCTTAGCCTTATTTCTTAACGGCACCTTAATTGGTGCCAAGAGTGCATTTGGCCCCCGCTCCATTTTCAACCATCCTCGAATAAGTACGACGATCGCTCTGAATCAGCTTAAGGGATGGATTTTCATTGTGGGTTAAGTGAGGTGAAATTGGGTTTAACGTCGCGTCCAAGATTATTGCACTTATATAGCGACGTGCATGCACGTGGGTGTGGGTGCATATGGCTGCTTGTACTAGTCCGGACTGATGCCGATTTATAGTGCTAGCCCACTGAGATACTATGCCGCAGTTTAACATGAATATCCCACTCAGACAAAGTATACTGACTCCGAGCCGACCAGTCCTTGTTTTAGCCCCTTAATGCCGAGCGCCAGACAGGATAACAACAAGTACCATATTTTAACGTCTTTTGGTATGACGCGGCCGGGGATCGAACCCCGGACCTTCCGCTCTCCGGGCGGACGCTCTACCACTAGACCACGGAGGCGGTCGATTTTCATTGTGAGTGAATACAAGTCGTAACTCAGAGAGCTGAACTCATGACTCAAGATTAACTTCAATTGTACAAACTATCTCTGACATGTTATGTTTCATGTTTGGTAATGCACCATAAGACACAGGGGATGAACAATGTCATGTTAGTTACCAAAACAACTCTACATCAAGTGGATTATGAATCCGATGCAATTTGAGATGTGAAGGCTGCCCTGGCATTCTTGTACATTCTGGCGCGTTATGTCTACATAGGTTAGTTTATCAGTTTATTTCGGGGGCACGGGTGGCCCAGTCGTCTAAGGCGCTGCGATTCGCTGTGCAGAGTTGCGTCCCTTGGACACGCCAGAAGCCTATGATTGTGGGTTCGAATTCCGGTTCGCCCCGATTATGTTTCTAGGGTTTTTCAGCACCATACCCGTGCTCGTGGGGTTCACCGAAGTGGTAAACGTCTGAGACCTGCATCACTTCGAGCTTTCCTCCCACATTAAGCTGACACGCCGCGATATAACTGGAATATTGTTAAAAGCGGCGTTAAACACAACTCACTCACTCAGTATTAGTTATTTCCGTTTATAAAATGATAATCCTTTTAAAAGTCACGTTGAATATTTCCAATTGATAGACCGAGGATTTTTGATTGCATCAATATGTTTGTATGTCAAACTCAGATTATTGGAAACTAATCTTAACTATATTTCACCTCGCTCGAAATCACCTCACTCACATACAGAGACGGGATGAATGTAATTTGTTCAGCAGGACACAAGGAATGATGATAAGGAAATAATCACTGCAGGCGGCGCTATGGCTATCTGGATAGAGAGAAATCACTAACGATATCCGTCGTTCTTTCATCAGAATCCTATGACTGTTTGACAGACCATCGATCATCCCTGAAGGCAGGGACGTGGTAGACATGGAGCTGGCACCATAACCAGGCGTCCCCCGTAGAAAGTCTGTATTGTGGTCTGCGTATGACTCTAAAAGTGACAAATACACACAGTTCTCAATCACAGGGGGACTGACATAATGCCCCCCCCCCCCCCCCCCCCCCCCCACACACACACTCACTCACACACAACAAGATCTACAGGTTCAGGTATTGTAGTAATGAAAATACTCGATTCTGATTGGTCAGTCGCTGGTATGACACCAGATTTGACGATCACATCACCGCGGAAGATAGTCAGTCATTGTCCGGAGGCAATGTTAAATAACTACATGCATTACAGATAATAAATGCAGATTTGCGGTAACCCACAATATTCAAATTATGTGTGGCAATGCATTTTGTGCTGAAAACACAACAGAAATCGACTGAGTGAGTTTGACACCGGAGGAGTTTAAACTTTGTCGCTTTGAATAGCCCACTGTGACGTAATATTTTGTGCGTCACAATGTCAAAATGAGCGGAGTGACGTCATAATAGTGACGCGCTGTGTAGAACGAAACGTGGAAGGGTTTTCTTCCTCTTCCTTAGAGGTGCTCAACCTGAGGCGTGTTCAGGAGGGCGGGCGTTCGCGATATTACGCGAGCGCGCGCTGTTGAACACGGCTTACCGCGCGAGCGCACGCGTGTACTCGCGGTCGAGCCCGAGAGGTAGTTCGCCTCGTAATCCAAGATGGCGTCGCACATTGAACAAATGTTTGCCTTTGGCGAGAATGGAACCGATGTCAATAGAATATTCTTTTAGACTAGATCTACCATCAAAAAGTTATTTTTGCATTTTCAATATATTGACCCGTGATGATCAGGGAAGACAATAGGTCTTCCGCAACCCATATGTTTGCCGTAAGGATTGAGTAATGTATAAGACTCGCTGACTTGTGTGATGCATGTCATCGTATCCCCATTGCACAGACCGTTGCTCATGTCGACTGCTGGATTGTCTGGTCCAGCACAGGGACATGTAACTAATAATAAAAATAAACACTTTGTTATCATGAACATCAAAGTATGAACCCATCAAACTTGTGAT